TATTATCTATCTATCTATCTATCTATCTATCTATCTATCTATCTATCATCTATCTATCTACCTACCTATCTTCACAGAAACGATAGAGCCCTTTTGCAGGGAAGGGTCTCGATGGTGTTATGGGGCAGTAAGTGTGGTCAGTGGCTTCACGTTCGCAGCTCAAGCTAAGGATGCGCGATGGCCCCAGAACTGCTCTCATTGGCCACGATCCGGTTCCGTCTCAGTCATTTAAATGGTTTCAGGTTAGCCGGGCTTCTCTTTGCACTTGGCAGAACGTTGCCAGGAGTAAAACCGTTCGCTTCCCCCAGATGCGGGTCCCACTTTCCCAGGCCCACCTTCCTGCGCGGGCCAGGGCCCCGCCCTGAGGACAGAGGCTGGTATCCTACCCGATGCTCTTCTCGCGGCCTCGGGGACCCGGGGTGCTGGGAGTTCTCTGAGGCCCCAGCGTTGGGGTTTCACAATGTTTTATTTCTCACGGGAACGCGACCGCCCTCCACATTTTAACAGAACCTGAGAGGTTCTACTTTAGAACACGCTCTCCCCCGTTCCCTATAGGGTTTAGCTGCTGGGAGATCGATGGTTTCTCGGGGTGTAGGTTTTAAGGGTAAGGAGGTCACAGGGAAGGTATTTTTGGGGGGTGCAGGGGCTGTGGCTACTGCATGAAGATAGTGGCCCTTTTCTTTTTTAACAGGAAAAGGCTCACAAATCTCTCGCAACACCCCCTGGCTTTGAACTTGTCAGATGTTCTCTCTTCCATTCTGAAGTTTAAGCGAAGGACTCAGACTTCATCTGAAGCTGTTTTTCGGATGTGACAAAAACAGGCCTTTTTTTCTATTTGGGGCCAAACGGCCGGCCATTTAAATATGTGCGTTCTGTTCTAACTGCGCGTGTGTGTGTGATTTCTGAACGCTCGGAAAATTATTTTAGGACAAATGGAAGCTCAAGGCAGGTTTCGGCCTGAATGAGGCTACTCTCTACGCTTAATGAGAACCTTGATTTTCACAGGGGCCACCTAGAAGCTGTGCTGTTTTAGGCAGAAAGGCTGGGTTTTAGACAGACACGGGAGGTTTCATTCGAGCTATAACTCGGGGTGAGCTATAACTCGGGGTGCCTGCTGCCGAGTTTCCCAGGGGTTGGGTCCCATCAGCGTGTTTCTTTGGCTGCAAAGTCTCTCTCTTGTGTGTGTGTGTGTGTGTGTGTGTGTGTGTGACCCAAAACACTGTGTGGTGGAAAGATCAGATGTATGAACACTTCCAATCAATGCAGAAGTACAACTTTTAATTAACAGTATTGTTAAAAGCATCCCCCCAAAACGAATTTCATGTGTCTTATTTCTCCCTCCAATACTTTCTCTCCCTCCCTCTACCTCTTTCTCCCTCTCTCTCCTTCTCCCTTCCCCTCCCCCCCCTCTCTCGTTTTTTTTTTTTAACTTCAGTGTGAATAGCACCTGTAATTAAGGCAGAAACAGGAGCCCAGGGAGCTAGGGAGGACTCCCATCTATTGATCTGTGTGAGCCCGGCTTCCCCTGTCAGGGGAGACACAGGCCACTGCTGGGCGGCTTTGTCACCGACAGAAGCCGAGAGGGGCTTTTTTTGTCTGGGCTGTTTATGCGCTGGGCTGGGGGCCTGCTGGCTGGTTGAATTTTAAAGAGCGCTGAGGTTTAAAGGCTTGTCCCCCGAGGCGCGCTTCTGCCAGTTGGGAAGCGAGCTGAGGCTGTGTTGCAGCATGTCAGGGGAGACACAGGCCACTGCTGGGCGGCTTTGTCACCGACAGAAGCCGAGAGGGGCTTTTTTTGTCTGGGCTGTTTATGCGCTGGGCTGGGGGCCTGCTGGCTGGTTGAATTTTAAAGAGCGCTGAGGTTTAAAGGCTTGTCCCCCGAGGCGCGCTTCTGCCAGTTGGGAAGCGAGCTGAGGCTGTGTTGCAGCAGGGCCTGCGTGTGTGTGTGTGTGTGTGTGTGTGTGTGTGTGTGTGTGCGCGCGCGCGCGCATGTGTGTGGTGCGTGTGTTCTCTCTACTGTCTATCTTTTTCTATCTATTTTTCCATCTACTATCTATCTATCATCTATCTATTTTTCTATCTACTATCTATCTATCTATTTTTCTCTCTACTGTCTATCTTTTTCTATCTATTTTTCCATCTACTATCTATCTATCATCTATCTATTTTTCTATCTACTATCTATCTATCTATTTTTCTCTCTACTGTCTATCTTTTTCTATCTATTTTTCCATCTACTATCTATCTATCATCTATCTATTTTTCTATCTACTATCTATCTATCTATTTTTCTCTCTACTGTCTATCTTTTTCTATCTATTTTTCCATCTACTATCTATCTATCATCTATCTATTTTTCTATCTACTATCTATCTATCTATTTTTCTCTCTACTGTCTATCTTTTTCTATCTATTTTTCCATCTACTATCTATCTATCATCTATCTATTTTTCTATCTACTATCTATCTATCTATTTTTCTCTCTATCAACATTTCTATTTCTGGGCCAGGATCTGTCAGAAGTCCCCGTGGCTGGTCTGTGGGACCAGTAGCCTCCCCATATGGTGCGGGCGCTTCTTGTAAAATCCATATGGCCTTGTTGAGGGGACCGCAGCAGGGATGTGAAGGGTGTTAATACCCTTCAGGCCAGACCTCTCTGCCGCCTGGGGCCCCGGGCCATTGTCCCTGCAATCTGCCCTCACACACCCCTCCTTCCTTCTTAATAATCAATTAGGTCGTCGCCCAACCTGGGCCAGTTCTGCTTAAGAAATGACCCCCCCCCCCCCCCCCCCCCATGTCTCAGGAAAGGTTTAACTGCGTCTTTATACACATCCTAAAGCTTTTTGTGTTTGTTTTTCCGATTTGCCTTCGCAGGAAGTCCTGAAGAGCGTGCCCAAGTTCTGTTTCCCCTTCGACGTCGAAAGGTACGTCTGAGCCATCGCTGAAGTCCCTTTACCTGTCTCAGCGAGGACGTAGAAACGATGGCGTTAAAAAAAAATACAGTGAAATGTCCTTTCTCTGTATCGCCTCCAACAACAGCAACAGACGGTTGGCTCAACATGAAGTCGGACCTGGAAGGAGGAAGGCTTTCCATCCCTGAGACCTGTCCTTTCCCCTCCTGTGGCTGGTTAGGGCACCTCTGAGGGTTCCATTTCTCCCTTTTGTGCCTCAGGGGCCCGGTCTTAATCAGACCTTATCAGAGCCTTAGAAGGGTATTATCTATCTATCTATCTATCTATCTATCATCTATTTTTCTATCTACCGTCTATCTATCTATCTATCTATCTATCATTTTTCTATCTACCATCTATCTTTTTCTATCTATTTTTCTATCAATCTATTTTTCTATCATCTATCATTATCTATTTTCTTTCTATCTATCTATCTATCTATCTATCTATCTATCTACCTACCTATCTATCATCTATCATTATCTATTATCTATCTATCTATCTATCTATCTATC